TGGATGTTTTCCCCCTCCAAATATCATGTCAAAATGTGATTCCTGATGGTGAAGGTGGGGCCTGGGGGAGGTATTCAGGTCATAGGGGTGGATCCCTCATGAATGGCTTGGTGCTGTCCTTTCCATAGTGAGTGAGTTCTCATGAGATCTCGTGGTTTAAGAGTGTGGCATCTCCCCTCTCTCTCTTGCATCCACTCTTACCATGTGACATACCTGCTCCTGCTTTGCCTTCCACCATGATTATAAGCTTCCTGAAGCCTCACCAGAAGTTGAGCAGATGCCAGCACGATGCTTCCTGTACAGCCTGCAGAACTGTGAGGCAATTACACCTCTTATTATTCACATATTATGCAGTCTCAAGCATTCCTTTATAGCAACACAAGAATGGCCTAATATGGGGTGGGGGGGGAAGCTTAGAATTTTATTTTTAGTTTACATCCCTCTTACTTTTTTATTTTTATTTTTTTGAGACAAGGTCTCACTCTGTTGCCCAGGCATGATCTCAGCTTATTGCAACCTTGACCTTCTGGGCTCCAGTGATCCTCCCACCTCAGCCCCTCAAGTAGCTGGGACTACAGGTGTACACCACCTCACCTGGCTAAGCTCTCCTTTTGGTAATGTATCTTACAAGTTGTGTTCCATAATTTATTTCTCAGTGTTTTTTTTTTTTTTTTTTTTTGACAGAGTATTGCTCTGTTGCCCGGGCTGGAGTGCAATGGTGCAATCTCAGCTCACTGCAACCTCTGCCTCCCGGGTTCAAGAGATTCTCCTGCCTCAGCCTCCTGAGTAGCTGGGATTATAGGTGCCTGCCACCATGCTTGGCTAATTTTTTTTTTGTATTTTTAGTAGAGACAGGGTTTCGCCATGTTGGCTAGGCTGGTCTTGAACTCCAGACCTCAGGTGATCCACCTGCCTTGGCTTCCCAAAGTGCTGGGATTACAGGCGAGAGCCACCATGCCTGGCCTTCTCAGTAATTTTAATAATATTCTTAATATTGCCTATTAACACATTGCTATAGTACATTCCCCCTCCAAATCTCATGTTGAAATTTGATCCCCAGTGTTGGAGGTGGGGTCTAATAAGAGGTGTTTGGCAGCTCTCTCACGAATAGCTTGGGGCCATCCTCACAGTAATGAGTGAGTTCTCGACCAATGGGTTTCTGCAAGAGCTGATTGTTAAAAAGAGCCTGGCATCTTCCTCCCTTTTCTCTTGCTTCCTTTCTCATCATGCGACCTCTGCACATGCCAGCTCCCCTTTGCTTTCTGCCATGACTGGAAGCAGCCTGAAGCCCTCACCAGATGCAGATGCTGGCATCCTGCTTCTTGTCCAGCCTTCAGAACTATGAGCCAAATAAGCCTCTTTTCTTTGTAAATTACCCAGCCTCAGGTATTCCTTTAAAGCAGCACAAACAGACGAAGACACACATTTATTTGAATTTTAAAAGTCAGAGAGAAATTAATTCTGATTATGTTACCGGTTTGAAAATAAGAATCAGAGTGTCCAGTTAGGTTATATGGTGGGTATTTTTCACAGGTGAAATGAAATAAGTTTCTAAGGCTTTTTAACAAGAATGTATTTAAAACATGAGATGAAATAAAAATATTTTTATTGAAAAAATATTGAATTGGTGATGATGGTTTGATATGAATATTTTGAGTTTTCAATATTTTCTTAGTATATCAGGTTAAACAAGGTATATCTTAAGTGAAAGAATATTAGCAGGCTGATGTGCTGTAATCTTAGTGCTTTGGGAGACCGAGGCGTGAAGATTACTTGAGGCTAGGAGTTCAAGGCTAGCATGGACAACACAGTAAGACCTAACTCTACAAAATAAAAATAAAACAATTTAATGGGGCATGGTGGTGTATGCCTGTAGTCCTAGCTACTTGGAAGGCTGAGGCGGGAGAATTACTTGAACCCAGGAAAATAGTATAGTCAAAGAACTTCAGGAACTATCATTAATTATATTAATTATTAATTTTGAGACTTGTCACAGAATTATAATTAATTATACCATTTA